TGTGATGACCATCTACCAAAAGCGTGTCATCTTAACGCTTCCACCACTCATATGCAAGAGAAGGTCTCCAAGCACGAACCCTTCTACTCCAACTGGCCCGTGAGCCAGTTAATTGATTCCATGTGGAAGGCAGTATCCTTCAACTAAGCATATTTGCTTGATCTATCTGTTGCGGATCTTCGCGTCGCAGCATACGTTTTCAAGTACTCACGATTTCGCGAGCATGTATCGTCGGGCCATTGGGTGTTTGACTGCTCAGTCTCATCTAATCCAATAAAAATCGCACCTATAAGTCCATAACTGCTCTTCTACATAAGAGCCTCCATTAAAGCTTTTAATTAAAGCTTTCATTAGCCCTTTAGGTCTAACTGACAAAGGACGCATGCGTGTCCTGACCTAAGCCCCCGCTCAAATAAGTGTGATCTCTGTCTATAAAGCGGGTAGGCAAGGCCCTCTGGCGATTATTTAACTTCAGGCACACGGAACTACACTGCTTCTTCACGATTTCCCCTTGCTTTTGATAAGTCAGAAACCACGGCTCATGGAAATTGTGGTGTCTGTGTTGCATTCCGCTTAACTGTCGTCTTTAAAACGTTTGATTATCCAGTTCAGTTAAACTCAGCGGAACTCGACATAAAAACCGGCGCGTGTCTAATGTAGCAGCGTGCAATCCAAAGATTCTGATTCTGAAGGAAACCTTTTCCATCAAAATGCACGTTTAGTGATTCTTCCGGCGAGACACTGTGACACTGGCGTCGCTGAGAGTGATATGAAAACCCAGGCTGGCCGTCCCAACTCTTTGGAATCCAGGCTGGTCTTGGGCTTTTAAGTCGATACTCACCCCTCAAATAGACACGCCTCCTGATTGTGCTTCCTGAACCCCAGCTATTTCTGGCCACTTATCATTTCCAAAACGAACCTTCATAACGTGTAACCTGGTGGTCAGCAAGTGCAGATCGACCTTGAACACATTAAGATCGCGTGGCCTTCGCCCATCGTTGGGGAGCAACAAATTACTACTGCAGCCTGTGCAAAGAACTCTTCTATCACGCTGTAGTGTGGACAAATCCGAAAATTCGCTTTCATTTGGGCTCCCGCAGATCAGAAAAAGCTCGATAATCCAGGACTTTAGGAGAACGCCACTGCCCAGTGACATCCAGCCCGGCCAGCTCATTTGCGCTGTGAACAGGACTAACTAACTTGTAAGAAAGGGAAAGGAACGGGGTAAACCGTACTCCCTGAGTTGAGTAATCCATTGCAAAGTTTCCACTGTCGAACAAGGTGACATAATATATGAGTTATTAAGAAGCGAAATAGATAGGCGATAGGTCAGTGGTTTTGACAAGTGCAAAAAGAAGGGCTATAACAGCAGCGTACAAAGCTGCTCCCTGACACTTTCGTTGAGGTCAAACGACCTCCGGACAGGGTGAAACTCCTTTGTCCTGAATGAATTCACGAAATCCATCCCTGAAAACAGGGCATGCAGCAGTGCACTCTGATTCCTCAAACGCCGGGTGGCCAAGGGCTCACGAGAAGACCGCGTGACCCGGCTTGCAACGAGCCCCGGAAAGTCATGAGCGCTTTTTCCAACAGGGCCCATTCAGTTTTATCGACCAGTCAAGGGGAAGTAATTCCCTTTGGAACCGCTGGGAATTGTGGACGCCCTTCGAAGCCCCATGTTGGCACTTAGGTTGCTGGTCAGTTCGGCTCTGTGAATGATACACAGGATTACGACTCAACAAAGCTTCATGAGTGGCGTTTGCATTTTTTCTCTGGTGACATCCGTCCACCTGTGTGGTGGTCTGAATACCCAATGAGCTACTTTACCAGGTTCGTGTGGTAAAGAAATGAAAATAATAAAGCTAGATTGAGTATACATTGATGAAGACGCCAGATGGAACAGAATTACTAATGATTTTTCTCTTTAAAACAGTTCGTCGCTGGCCCAGGTCAGCGAATAGACAATAATCCGATCCTGGTTGTCCAGGGGTCTTCTTTTGAACAGTTCCCACACAATAAATTCTGAGGATCGTCTGAAATGTTTCGATACCAGAGTTAGCACATAAGAGTCGCGAAGGCCTACTGTTGGCGCGAGTGAAGTCAAAAGAGAGTCGGAACATGTGACCACGTTTGTATTACGTGGAATTGTACAAGTGAGCTTTCTTGTGGTTTTTCGTGTTCAAATAAAAACGGTTATGCAATTGCCAAAATACGTAATGTTATGATGGAAGCAAAATAAAGGTACAAAACACCACACCTGAAAGGCGCAAAATGTTTCCAGGACTGGGGACTCACATGAAAAGCATCTGTAAGTGCTGTAAACTAGGGTGTGGATGCGATATGGGCGGATAGTAAAGAAGTAATACTCCACTTACCAAATACCTGAAATGGTAAAAAAAACTGTTCCCTGATAAAAGTGTACGCCCTGAGTTTGAAAATCTTACCAGGGTTTGCAGCGTATTAGTCCGGTTAACGGTGAAGCCCTATCTACCAAGCATTGTGCAAACAATGTCCTTTCAGGAGAGAGCGCAATCGCCACAAGACGCGTTTCGAAGTCAACAGATTTGAGGCCAAAAACCACCTCCGAAGCAGCTCCTTACTGTTGCATCCTGAGCGGATAAATTGGTTAGCGTATCCAAGAGGCGGTTTGACGTGGTCCCCATTGAGCATCTGAAGGTCTATTTGGGTAGGACGCGGGAGGTCCACGCGACCACTCGAGGAACGATGAATGCCTTTTTAGCCGGTTTTCCACGGGAGAATGGGAAAGACATGTTTGATGAGAACAAGACTACCAATTTCTCGGTAACATCCCCTGGTCCATTCTCGCCGTGCACGACAGAGACGTTCTCCGAGGCTCCTCTGAACGACGTATGCACACCCTTTTCCTCATTCAAAGGAAGGTGCCAGTTAGTTGCCACTCCTCTGAAGCTTCTACATCTATTAGTAAGGTGCTACCCTTGGAGCCCCAAGATCTCAGGTCACCCGCTGAACGTTGTCATGTATTTGCAGGGTCACTTGGCAGGTCGTCGGCGTAGAACAGACGGTAGGTTCTAAACAGCGCCTTGGGAAACTCGAATGGAGACCGGTGTAGAGGAAGATTTGATTAAGTCCTCCTTCTATCGGAAATTTTAGCTGATTTGATAGTTGTAATCAGGTGTGGAATTCCTCATTCAATCCGATAAGAAGCTAATATGGGGAGCAGCGGAACTCATGAGGCTAGATTGAAAGTTCATTGGAACAAGAATAGTTTGGCGTTTGATATGAGATCAGCATCATTGCTATGGGTTAAGGTGTTTACGGTTACGAAAATCTTCGTTACCGAAGAACGGTTTGGGAGCAATGTGTTTCGCGCTGTGGTATCAAGTTGCTGGCAGTGAGTTGATTCACGATGCGTCCGATCACCTTTCACGGTATGTTTTTGATGCTTACAGACCTGTGCTGCCGGGCGAAAGGCCATCACTTTTATCAGATTGGCGCGAAAATCGCCTCGTTGCAATGGAATGGAATGTATCTTGGTCGGACGACTGATGAGACATCGCACAAGTTCACTTGGCCATTGTGAGTGACGTTTTGTTCAGGATAATTAAATGGACCCCATATGGTTCCAACGCAAGGAAAGGATTTGTCCTGTGCAACAGTTGAAGGATGTCCCCGTTATAGGCTGTTCGTAGCAAAATCTAATCAAGATTGGATACGGTGAGGTCACTGAAGATTATTAGAAGCCTTCACCGTGTTTTCCAAAGGCTTCAGGTACAAACATGAGGTAATTCGTGGGTTCCCCGAGTTCCTAAAGACTTCTTCGGCGGTGCCTCGTATTTTTTCCGAGAGGTCTAGAATCTTGGTCCAATTTCATATGCTTTTGACCACCATATTTTTAGAGCATGACATAGGCTTCCACAGCGTCGGGCTACAATTTCCTCAATCGTGCTGGAGGTACCGGTCTAGAAACGCTCGATCGCGATACCCCATATTCTGACCAATCAGGTCTTGGTTCCGTTTGGTCCAAAGCTGGCTCTTCGGTCGACGTGATATTCAGGTGGTCCCGCCTCCGGACACCTCCCATTCGAGGATGGCTATGTGATATGTCACGCCTCTGAATTCGCTTATCGGTCCGTCCCCAGAGCAGTAAGGATTTTAAATGTGGTGTGGATGCATCTGGTCCAGTGAAAGCCATGGCCCTGACGGTGCTATCTATTCGGGAGGTATATTAATGGTGTCCAATGTTCAGTGGAGGGTGGTTCCATTGTGGAGCCAAAATCTGCTGTCTAAATTTGTGGCAGCAAAGTGCATACCCAAGGACAGGAGAACTTTGTTCAGTCCATCCAAAAACGCCCGTGCCTTCTCTTCTTTGTAGATGAGAACGGTGTCGGCATATTCCAGATCGACATGGTTTTCGTCACAGTGTTTTGAAAAACTTCCAGCGTTCGTCTGATTATTTCCTTGATTACAGAATTAAATAGGAATGGAAAGGGCATCCCTGACGGACACCGCTATGTGTTCGAAAGCTTTTGGAGAGCTCTCCATATACATTCACACTTTTGGAACTCTGAGACTACAAAAGACTTATTGTGGTCACAAGCCCCTACGGCACTGCTTGATTGACAAGCTTTTCGGGGAGAACAGACCGCGCAACCGAGTGAGATGCGCCTTGACAATCCAGGAATACCAAAATTGTGGGTCTTTCTTACTTATGACGTCATTCCAGCACATGATGCAGTATGGAGATTTGGTCAGCGCAGACCCTACTAGCTCNGGTGGGAAAGCATGTCAAGAACAGACCGATCAACCGAGTCGAATGTGCCTTGGAAATCCAAAAATACTATAATTGTGAAACACTTATACGTATGACGTTATTCTAGCGCCTGACGGATTTGGTCAACGTAACCATTACCAGGTCTGAATCCCACTTGCTGCTCTGCAGTCAGCGTCTCACGAGCTACTGTCAAGTGACGAAGCACCAGTGACGCCAACGGTCACGCTATGGCCGGGGTCAAGCTGATCCCCCTGTGGTTACCACACTCACTACGAGCCCCTTTTTTAAAAGTGGGCACTATCACCGACTCTCCCCAGTTGTCTGAGACAAATACCTTTCTCCAAGTGCAAGCAAACAAACCATACAAACACTGACTGAGGACTTCAACCCCATTTTTGAATAGTGCGGATGGGGGGTCTTCCGGACCAGAAGTTCGGCGGCACATGAGAGAGAATATACAGTCACAAACATCCGAGGCCGTAGGAGCTTCCACGTTCACCGTCCACAGTTCTACGTCAACTAGGTAGTTGAGACAAGGGGCACTTGGTGGCTGCGACAGCTATCATTCGAAGGATTTGGCAGTCGTGGCGTTCTTTATTCAAGATGGTTGCTGCATTCTGATCCTTGATGGTTTCCGCGGTCTAATCGGACAGATCAAATGAAATACTTTTCGGACATTGCCGGATTTCTGGGACTTTCATTTCCTTAGCTTTGCGAGTCCACCAGACTTCATCGTCGACTCGCATACTCACTTTCACTTGGCGTCTTATGTTTCATCGGGCTTGCTGGCGCCGCCACAGGCAAAAACCCCAGTACTGTACAAAAAGTTGCCGAACTCGCCTTAGTATGAACCCTGCCAATATGGCACTACTTAAATCTCGAAGAAATATCCCAGCCGGTCCAGAACATATTCCGGTGCGAAGAGCTATTAGACGTCAAGTGAAAATGAGCTTGCGATCCGACCG